CTGAGACCCCCTCCACCGGGGCTCGCGAACCCGAAGACACGAACGCGAGGGGCCCGAAACATGGGCCCGTTTTCCAATGACGTCCGGGAAGGGTCAGCCCGTGGGGACGTTTTTGTCACATTTCGACGCACCAGGCCCCCCTCGCGACAATTTCGACGTGCAGCCACCGTTCGATGCGCGGATCGAACAGCTGCGAGTCGGCGCGCGGACCCTGCACGGAAATCCGCAACGGAAGGCCCGAGGGGGCCTCGTGTCCCTCGCGCCTACAAATACGAGCGGCGCCTTGGGCATTGACGATGCGTTTTGCGTTTTTGCTGGGGAGATGCTGCCCCACGGAAGCCACGCACCGCCACTGTCGTCAACAACTGGCGCGCCATAGCTGGCACAACCATTCTTCACCGCGCACGTTTCATGGCACCGACGCACCCCACATGCCCTTGCATGTCCCAAGTCGTTGTCCACGTCATATTCGACGTCGCTTTCGATCTCCTTTCTCGGAAGGCGCGACCTCCACCCCACGCAGCACCCCAGCAAACGCGAAGTGCACGCCCAAAGGTGGATAGAGTGCCGTCATGACAAACGCTGGGTTTCGCGCTCATCTTCACTCGGCAGTTCCACACGGTGAGTGCGCACGCAGTCGGGATGTATGTTTGCATGTGCCCGAGTGCGGGGGAGGCTTTTTGTGACGATATGCTCGAGCAGATCGAAAGACTTCGTGGCTGCATGTGTGCGGGTGGGCGTGTGTGTGTGTGTGTGTGTGTGTGTTTGTGTGCGATTGTGTGTTTGTGCATGCTTCATTGTGTGTGTGTGTGTGTTCGAGTGCGTGTTCCTTTGTGTTTGTGCTTGTATTGAAGTGTGTGCCACACGCGCGAGGCAGGATCGTGCGCGCGTCTGTACCTGAGGGGCGTGTGTGTGCGGGCGCCAAGTGTCGGCGCGTGTGTGTGTGTGTGTGTGTGTGTGTATGCGTGTGTGTGCCTGTCTGTGCATATGTGTTCGCATGCGTGTGTGTTCGCGCGCGTTTTCCACGGGGAGATGCGCGCGAATTTGCGCGGTCAGGGACGAACGTCATGGTTCGCCCTTCGATTCCGCTTGTGTGTGGATGTGTGAGGATGTGTGAGGAGAGTATCAACAAACGGTTGCGCTCGTGCTGTACTCAAGTGGCGAAGCACGGAAGCTCGGATCAAACACGAGGCGGCCAATAACGAAACACGTCATCGTGAGCACTTGCCATACCCGATTGGTTTTGTGTGCTGTCCCAATGTCATGTCCGCCGATCTGCCCAATGGATGATCAATTGAAACACGCGGTGGCAATGTCGACACAGCGAACGCATCCATCGACCAATCGCGAAACACGATTAGATCACTCGCGATCGGATGATTGGTCGTGTCTGCCGTGTCGACGTTACCACCGCGTGTGTGTTGTTCTTTCTGTCGTGTGTGTTCAGATCACTCGTGATCTGATGGTCGATCAGATCCATGATAATATGTATACCACACATGTGATGAACCGACCCATCACGAAACGCAAGCCGACCACTCGCGATCGGGTGATAGATGCTGTTTGCTTCCCCAACAACAGCGCCGCTGATCTACCCGACGGATGATTAACCAATGCACGAGGCCACACCGCATCCAACCGACCAATCGCGAAACGACAGAAGATTACTTGCAATCGGATAATTGATCGTGTGTGCTGCACCGAAGATCAACCCGCCGACGAGCGACCTGTTTATTTACCCACCTGACAGTCCTCGATCGAACCATCGATCGGTCAGGAAATCTGCCAGGATCAACTGATTGGTCGAGAGCTCGGTTGGCGATTGCTCTGCTGGTTGATCAACCACCACACCAACCGCCAACCGAGCAGCCGATCAACCAATCGACTGTTCTGTGTTAATTGATCGTGGAGAACGATCGCGGAGAATCCTCAAGGCAAATGATCATGTGCACGATCGAAACCGGCGAACGAAACGCACAACCGATCGGAAAAACGTTGATCCCGATCTTCGAACGAATAAAAAGCACTTCGTCACAATCTTGTTGCACATCGAACCTCGTATAACATCGAACCATGCTGCCCATGGAACCTGGCTCCACATCAAACCTCGGCGGGCGTCTAACCTCGTCGGACGTCGAACTTTGGAGGACGTAGGGTCGTCGACACTGGACGGTCACTGAACGGCGAACGTTGAGCACCCACCACCCCACGCGTCACCAGCACTGTTCTCGTGATCGGAACGTGGTCGTTCCAACCGAACTGATCGCGCAATCAAACACCGGAAGAAGTTGGGATCCCGGCGAGCTTGTGCAGCTGTTCGAACACGCTTCTCAACCTCGGTGCGCAACCACAGCCAGGGACGTGGAAAATTAGAAGTCCGCCAGGATCCGAACTTCAAGAAATTGTTGGACGGCGAGTTTGGCAGACACGTGTGCATCTCCCACCGGGATCGAGAAGTTTGGATCCCGGCGAACACCCTCCCGTGGATCCGGACCTCGCGTGGCAAGTTCGGACCCCAACGAACTTCGCGTCGCGCATGGTGTGGGTACTGACTGTGTCCTTTCTCGCAAACGGGAGTTTGCCACAACTTTTGTTTCGCAAAAATGCGAAGTCCGCCGGGATCTGTACTTCTCGTGCAAAGGTTCCTGGTCCCATCGTCGGGTTCGCCTGCTGGGCCGTGGATCCGAACCTGCTGTCTTCCTTTCGCAATGCATGTGGCAGGAGATGTTCCTTTCGCAATGCATGTGGTGAATTTGAGCAGTCTTCCTTTCGCAATGCATGTGGCAGGAGATGTTCCTGCTGGGCCGTGGATCAGAACTTGCCGTGCACGGTTCCTCAGACAATCGTAAATTTCGGATCACGGCGGACTACGGATTCTATAAAATGCAAAGTCCGCTGAGATCTGAACTTCCTGTGCACGGTTCGTCGGAAAACCGTCGACTTCGGACCTCGGCGTGCTTCACCTTTCGGGTGGTGCGGGTTCTGACTGTGGACTTCCTGGCGACCGGTGGATTGCCACAACTTTTTATTCGTACGAAATTGAAGTCCGCCCGGATCCGAACTTCTTGGCAGTTTTGGACGTCGGGTTTGGGAGACAGCTTCGTCTTTCCCGTGCAGTCTCGCCAAGTTCGGATCCAGGCGAACATGTCACAAGGCGTGTTTGCGGCTGGCCCGCGGGCCGGTAGATGTGAACACCGACGAAGCCGGCCACCCGAAATCGGATCTTAGGGCATACACTGCGTCTAATGCCATGGGTCGCACATCGTGAGACATGACGCGTTTACGAGTGTCTCCGTGCCCGTGTGTGTCGTCGGGCATGTGCGCGTGGTGTGCAAGTTGCGTGATGGAGGGGACCTTCTCGACACCACGCATCTTCGAGTCGATCTTCTCAAGACCACAGGCCATGAGTGTCGAGACGCACATTCGCTTAGCAGAACCTTTTCGTCCTTGTGCGAAATCTGTGCGGCATTTCAACGGTGTGACAACGATCCACGGAGCGACCGCAGAGGAGTTCGACGAGGACCCATGGATAACCGTCGTCCCGTGCATGGACGCACATCTTGACGACTAGGGCGAGGGCAACTGGGACAATATGGAGACTCACTGCCCTTGGGCAAGCCAGTACAAGTTCGCGAATATGTTGGAGTTCGGGGACCTCATCCCACTGCCTGACGCCGTCCTCGGACATAAGTTCTTGAACCATATGCGGAAAGCACTAAGCTACATTAGCTGCTATTTCAGTCACCTCGAGTGCCACAACGTCAGGTCGTCGCCACGAACTTGGGGAGGCTCACGGAAACAAGAGTTGGTGAACTGCGCTCGTCGCTGCTCGTTCCTGGATCAGTACCCGCTCCGTGGCCCCAGGATTTCTCCACGAGCTGTGTCGTACTGCTGTGTGTGGTTGACTATGTCCGGATCTGATTTCGCTAGAGTTATGTGTGTCGCTGCTTCGAACAAGAGCAAGAAACTCGTCGACGCAGTTGTGCTCGTGTCGCGCAACGAGGTTGTGATTGAAGGGTCCAAATTTGTGCCGATGCGTGGGCCTGAACGTGTGGATGGGTGGCCAGATTTGGTGATAGCAGGTCAGGTTCGAAACTATTCGTTGTTTCGTAAGGTTGAGGAGAAAGCGGCTGACATACGGGACTGCATAGGAAACTCCTTGGCACGACCGGGGGTGTTTGTTAGGATGAAGTACATGTCCGTTTTTTCGGAGAGTGCATCGGTCGACGAACCGCAGACCCGCGTATACGGACCGTCACTGAATGCTTTGTTTGGCTTCGGTTCACGACGTTGTCCCGGGGGATCCCCAAATGTTGCCGCATCCGAACCGGTCTTTAGTCCTTCTGTTTGAGGGAAAAGAACGGCAAGGGACGAGATGCGGTTGTGCTTCCTAACATGTCAGATTTGTAGGACTGCAGAGAAGTGTGAGACTCCGCGGTTGCTGGTACACGTTGCACCGCGCGCTTGTCATGCAAATCCCTGGTCGTCGTTCGGTTCAGTGACATGACGAAAGTCATGTTGGACGTCCGTCTCTGACGCCGTCTCCTGCCATGTCGTGCCCCGGCGAAGTTCGGATCTCGGCGAACTTCGCGTTCTGGCCTCTCCGTTAATTTGTCTCTGATGTCATTGGTGTCGGGCGGGCCGCGGGAAAGACCCGTCACCGAGGAAGGATCTGCCCGTAACCGGTTTTCGCCCGTCCACCATCAACATGTGCCAAACAGTCGGTCACTGTCGTAGCGAGATGCCAAAAGCACTCTTA